AAAGCAGAGTACCAGAGAAATACCTATCTGTGTTTCATTAACTACTCAAAGGCATTTGACTGTGTGGATCACAACAAATTGTGGCTAACCTTGAGAAGAACCGGAATCCCAGAAATCTTGATTGTGTTCCTGCAAAAACTATACTTGGACCAGGAAGCAGTTGCAGAGCAAGGGAATACTTGATGGATCAGAGTCAGAAAACGAATACATCAGGGATGCATCCTTTCTCCATACTGATTGAATCTATATGCGAAACATCATTTGGGAGGCTGGACTTTAAGAGGAAGAATGTGGCATCAGAACTGGAGGAAGACTGAGATCAATAACCTGTGTTATACAGATGACACAACCTTGCTTGCTGAAACTGATGACATGAGGCGGTTGCTGCAGAAGGTCAAGGACTTCAATTTGGATTGAAGCTCAACATCAAGAAAACAAAGATTCTTACCACTGAGCTGATTAGCAAAACCATGATAGATGGAGAAGAGATTGAAGTTGTTAACAGATACAGCTTGCTCGGCTCCACAATCAACCCTTTTGGCACCAGCTGTCAGGAAATCAAAAGACAAATTGCATTAGGAAAATTTGCTGTCAGAGACCTCTCCAAAGTGCTAAAGTGCAATGATGTCAGTCTAGAGACTAAGGTGCACATGAGTCTCGCCTTGGTATTCATATTTATTTGCTATGCATCAGAGAGTTGGGCGATGACTAAGGATGACAGAAGAAGAATTGATGGCTTTGCGTTGTGGTCCTAGAGAAGAGTATTGGACACACTATGGACCGCCAAGAGAACAAACGGGTCTTGGAGAGGATAAGACTAAGCTGCTTCTTGGAGGCAAGGATTTTGAAACTTCATTTCACATATTTAGAGCACATGGCCAGGAGAGATCAGTCCTTGGAGAAGGACGTCCCGCTTGGCAGGGTGAAAGGACAATGCAGGGCTTACTCTCTAGATTAATTGCCACGGGAGTGGGTAATGGATAAAGGTGTGTCAGTGATAATGGGACTGTCTCAGGGTAGAGCAGAGTTCAGAGCTGTTGTACATAGGGTCCCTCAATGGCACATAACAATGACAACAAATTGCATTAGAGCTTCTAGTCCCTGGAAAACAGAAGAGAGTATGGAAAAGTAGAAATGGATGAGAACCAAAATTTTAATCTGGCACAACAATAAACTCAAATTAAGAAAACTCAGGATTTGAGGAGTGAACTTGAGTAAAATTTCAGTAAAAGGAAATTGAGAATAAAAAAACTTTTAAATTTTTCTAGAGAAGGTAATAGTTATAGAAGAAACAAAGGATATAAAATAGCCTTAATTGAATTCCTGAATATAAAAATAGATTTGTAAATACAATAGAAAACATAATCAAGCCATCAGAAGAAAACATCTGAAGAAAATTAATCTTAGAATCAAAAGAAGATATTATATCTAAGGAAATTTTTATATACTAACTCAACACTGAAATATATCTTAGTGAAGGTACTGGGCCAAAACAATAATGAACTTGACAGGTTTTCAGGGAAAATAGAGGCAGTTCAGTTGCTCAATGAAATAAATTAGACTGACCTTAGACTACTCTCATTACTGCTAGAAAGTAGTTGAAAGTGATCACAAAGTTTTAAAGTAAAGATACTGAAACAATATTTGGAAATCTAGCCAGTTGACCTTCACATAGAAAAGTATCAAGTCTCAAGCATGTAGGACTTCACAGTACAAAGGCTCTTTTTAATACAAGAACTCAAGACATTCAGTGATATATATATGGCAGATTGTTGTTGTCGTTGTTATGTGTTGTTGAGTCAACTACGACTCGTAGCAACCTTATGAACAAGGGACCAGAACCTTGTCTCCTGCCTTGTGCCATCCTCATCATCTCCAATATACCTGAGCCCATTGTCATAGTCACTGAGTCAATCCATCTCGTTGAGGGTTATCCTGAAATCCTTCCTTAAACCAAACAGCTAATCATGTTGGATAAAATATTTCAATACATGCGTCTTAATTTATAAGAGTTTATAAATTCTAAATAATTTCTCATTTATAAGACTGTATAAAAATAAAAAGAAGATGCTCTGTGGCTGAGAATAAAAGGAGAACCCAACTCTAGGGGTGAACACATATTATTATTACTAAGAGCTGCTCTGGGGCAGCTGACACTTGCTGAAACTTGGAACTTTGGTTCCAAGCCAGAAGAAGAAGCCATGTCCTGGGCCTGCTAGGGTGGGATGTAGATTCAGAGGCTCCACAGAGAGCCAAGTACCACAAAGCATCATTCTAAGAGAATCAGTGAACTAGCCCCTCCCTCCCAGACAGACAGATAGACAGCCATGATATGATGAAGTATTCTCTTCAAACCAGTGGATGTTCTGAATGCAAACCACATTCAGAGCTGGGCAAGACATTAACAAGCTTCTTTTGATTGTCTGTATTTCACAAGGTTGGGCGAGCAGGAGGGGTACATTCTTAGTTGTTGTTGTGTGCCATTGAGTCAGACTCATAGGTGACCCTCCAGTGGGTTTTCCGAGGTGGTTAAATGCATGGGAGGAGATTGCCCATACTTCTCCAGTGGAGGAGCTGGTGGATTAGAACTCCATACTTTTGGGATTGCAGCACAGCTTCTTACCACTACGTCACCAGAATGCTCAAACCTCCTATAATGACTGGTGCATGTTCTTCTCTTCACCTTTTCCCATCTAGTTTTCTTACCTGAAATTCCTATCTCTCTATCTTTGATGGTTAAAGTTGGTTGTCAACTTGGCTGCCTATGATTCTCTGGTTGAGCAGTTACAATATATTCATTCACTTGATGAGATCTGTATGTGGAGGCAATTGGTTGAAAGAAGGTTTCATCAGAGTATGGCCTGCATCAAATTGAAGAGATGTATGGCAAAGCTCACTGGATTTTTGCTTGACTTGCATCTTGTGTCTGGCTCATCAGCTCCAGTTTTTTGGACTTGAACCAGTGGCATTCTTTACCTCTACAGCTATCTATCTGAGTGAGAAGCTTCGCCTGAGATCAGACCCATGGGCCTGGTACTTGCCAGCTTCAGCAATCACACGAGCCACCTCCTTGATATAAATTTCTCTATCTATCCATAGATATCGCTTGAGCCTATTTATTATTCTGAAGAGTCATTCTAGCTACTATTGTTTGTTGACTATTGGGAGATATCTGTGCTTTAATAGACACTTTACAGATAAGGGAGCTCTGGTGTTATATAGTGCATCAGGTTTATGTGCTGCTAACCCAAAGGCATTGTCCCTCTGGTGTTCGAATCCACCAGTTGCTCCAATGGAGAAAGATCAGCAATCTCCTCCCATGTAGTTTACAATCTTAGAAACCTGCTACAAGTTCACCTATGAGTCAGTTTCAACTCTGCAGGAATGAATTTTGAGTTTTTATCTATAGAAGCATATCATAGTGATCTCATCTCATTGGCCTTGCTATTTTAGAGAAGCCTGCCTAACATAATAATGTTCTCCAGGCTCCCATCCCAAACTGTGGAAGCTCTGGATATCCAGAAAGACCACGTTCAGGTGCTACCACCTACATACAGCCAAGCCAGGTTCCCCAGCTCAGAGGGGTGGCTCTGTCTGTTTTGAGCTCTGGCGTGTCACACTACCTTGATTTACGGTCATTGATGTGTATATCTGGCCCCCAAGAGAATAACTACTAGATGACAACAGTTACCCTTGTTGCGTATTGTGTGTTGCATGTTGCAGTGGGAATTTGATTTGAGTGTACAGCCATCTAGCAGGACTTCACAGACAAATCCACGTTCGACATGTAACGCACAGTGACCAAGAGTTCTTCCTACCAAGAGTCCCTTTCTGCCTACGGCATTCTTGCTGATCTCTTCACAGGGGGTTATAAAAGATAGAACAGGCTGACCCAAACTGGAAAAGAAGATGTAAAGATCACACTGAAGTACTCTAAAATAGCTAGATGTATTTTAATAGTTCTGTATTAACTTGCTGCATCTTAAAATATTTATTTCAAGTCAAGTCACAACCGTTGCATACTTTAGGCTGTGGCCATCATAAACACATGAGAAGAAGCAGCATTAAATGAGTACCAATACTTATCCATTAGTCCTGTGTAATCTAACACAAATGACCATTAAGAGACTTGCAAGGAAATCAGAGAAACAGAATTCTACATATTAACTACTATATAACTGAATGACAGTTTTTGCCTGTTGCCTGGTTTGGTCAACATTATAAAGCTTTCAGGAAATCAGTCCTTCCCTCTAAATGAATCTGTTCAGACACAAGGCTCATGGAGAACCCCAGAGTATAGAAAGCTGGTTCTTTAAAATATTTCTTAGCATGGTAAAGTGTATATCATTTCCTTCCATGACAGAACTGGAGATATGCTACCATGGAAACTCACCCCCACCCTCACCTCCACTGACTGGTTTAAAGGATGACAGGATCACCATCTCGACTAGCTTCTCCCATTCCTGCTCCCACTCTTCCAGTTCTTAATCTCTCCTTAAACAACATATTTTGTTCTAAACACCAGTTTAGTGCCTAAAATTAGCAATTCTCTAAATGCCACATTGAGCAAAATGAATTTACCAAATACAAAGGCTGCCATACTTAACCACTTGAGTGAAGTAAGTTTACTTCCTATAAAGCCTGTCATTTAACTGCTGGAAGTGACTGGAGCGAGGCAGCACTCCAGAAGTACATCCATTCAGTGCAACTGCGCCCTCCCACATGCAATAAATGCTGTCTCCACCCGGAGCATGTGGAATGGTACATTCTTTAACTTGCCTGAACAGTTCAAGTGCAGATTCATTTTTCTGATTATAACAAACTCAATCCTGATTGAATGCTGTATCCTTTACGCCCCTAGCTGAGAGTCCTTTGCTTAGGTCAGAATAATCTGAGCTAGTGATTTAGCTGGGAATACAGCTAACGGTTCCAGTCAGCTGAGGTGGGAGAGCCAAACTTGAGGAATCCTGTCATCTGTGTAGAATTGAGGATTGTCCAGATTAACTGCTGAGCTTTTCCAGAACAGCACGCACTTCCTCTGGATGGTAGTTCCCAGGGCCAGGTTTACCCTGAAAGAAAAATTAATCAAGTGATTCTTCCTTTCCAATGTGTAGGAATAGATGAGCCTGGGGCTTACTTGAGAGATAAGATACCTAAACGGGAGTTGTCAGCGTGGCATAGATACAGGCAGATGCAACCCTGAAGACATGAGAGCATGCAGGGGGCATGTGTTCAGTTGCACCAATATTGCACAGGGCAGGAAAGCAGAAAAAAAAAACAGGGTAAAGTGACAGTTCCTAAAGGAAAATAACCTCACACAAATATGCTTTTCTTCCACAATCAGGCTTCAGGTTGGAGTTTGCATCAAGTTCTTTCCATTCTGCATCAGAACCACATCTACCCCCCATTTCCTGCTGCCCTTGTTCAGCCCCCTTTTTCTCCTCCTTGGGAAGCTTTCACACTTTCTAGCTCTTCCCATCCTCAGTCTCTGGTCCCTCCATTCTTCACCTCCTGCCCTCAGTAGCCAGGGATCTTTCCACACACGACAGATCTGATCATGCCACTGCTCTGCTCAAAGTCCTTTCATTGATCTCCTTAACCTTAAGATGAAAGCCAAACTCCCTAGCTCAGGATGAGACCCTCTGCACCTGAATGCCCCCTAATTCTCCATTTAACATGCCTCAGTACACCCGCTCCTGCCCTGTGCCCTACATTTACAATAACTTTCATTCACCATGCCCATTTTCCAAACCTTTACCTTCCTTACAGTCCCAGGCAATTGTCACCTCCTCTGAGAAGCCTCCTTTACCCCAAAGGGTCAGCAGATTCTTAGTCCAGGAACCAAATCTGTCCTGCTGTCTGATACATATTTGTTTCATATTGTCTATGGATGTTTCCATGCTACGTAGCAGAGTTGAATAGCTGGGACAGAGATATTCTGGTCTATAAAACTAGAAATATCTAAACTATCTGTTTACTGAAAAAATTGTAGGCCCCTCCCTCGACCCTTATCCTAGAGATTGTGAGCAGTTTGAGGCCAGCCTTGAGTATTTGTAATTCTGCACACAGCACAAGGCCTACCCCAGAGTAGAAAGATTCAGTGGCTAGCTTCCCTCAGTCATGCTGTCTTAGCAAGGAGGTGAGAGGAATTCTTGTATGTGACCTTTGGCACCATCAGGATTCATTTGCAAGCTGTTCCTTGTGAAATAGTCTGCTTCGTTAGGCCCTACTGGACCTGAGGACAGAGGAGCTACGGTCCGCCCGCATTACTGGGTTTCTTCTGCCCTTTGAGGGGTGAATTTGTGCAGCTATGAAAGCTGGTTCTGTCCCTTCAGGAGAGGCTAACAGTACACAGTGGGCAGAGGCTCAGGCTAGAGGGGAAAGCGTCACCAGAAATGAAATCAAGGCTCAGTCCCTTTTCTTCTCTTGAGCGTGTCTAGCTTTTTTTTTTTTTTCAGTAATAATACAATTTAATATCTTAAACACGGATAGAGAATAAATGTTGACATTGCATTTAGGAAAATCTATACATTTTATGCATTATTTTTAACACAATAAGATTAAGCTTTCTTATTATTAAATAATAAAACTTCGCATTATATGGTCTTTGGAGATAAAACAGGGCTCTGGTGGCCTAGTTGTAAGAAACTGGTCTGCCATCCCAAAGGCATGTGGTTTGAATCCACCAGCTGCTCTGTGTGAGAAGGATGCAGTTTACTGTCTCTGAAAACCTGCTGGAGGGTCAGCTATGAGTTAATCCTGACTCAATGGTGCACAACAAGAAGAAGCAAGATTTCCTTTAAAAGTTAGATTTACCAACAATTAAATTGGACATATTTTCTTTTTCCTTGCAAAAGGACAATGTTTTGATATTTTTAAATGGACAATGCTTACCATTCACATACTAACAAAATGACTGTTGAAAGTAGCACAAGTAAGTATGTCACAGTGTACAGAGCTCCATCACTTTCCCTCCCACTTTGGAAGGGACAATAGCCATTAAAATGTGGGTTTGCTCTCAGGAGTGTGTCACAGATGGGGCTGTGCCTCTACTCTGTGTGCACAAGTGGGGTAGGTCCTCTGCGCAGACTTTGGAAGTGTCTTCTCGAAGGCCTCCCGATACAGTACTTTTACAGGTCCGTATAAGATGAATTTACTTTGGCAAGGTACGGAAACCATGAAAAGAAGCTGGGGGTAGCAACAGTCCTCTGATGTGAAACCTCCATGTTCACCTAGTAAAAGTTGGAAATTGAATTCTCTCTGCTTCAGATTTCATTTTCCCTCCTATTATATCAGAGTACTACACAGGCATCACACAATCTGCCATAAATAATCCTGCACAAACGTCTGCTTCAGTTTTGAATGCCCTGGACTCTCTCCAGCCATAAAACGTGGATCTACTTTTACCGCTAAAGAGGAGAGTTCCCCTCAGTTAGGGCTGAGGAAGGTAAAACTGACATGGAGTTTGCTGTTCAAGTAGTTACCGTGCGTGGTCCATCTTCTATGGCAAACAAATAGGGGCTTTGCCTTTGAGTTGGGCAAGTCCTTGAAGATCTTAACAATATTTATAAATAAAAAACGGTGTTTGTTTATTATTTTAAGAATGAATTTTCCATTGTGTTCCTCTTGGTAATGTAATCTGATAATATATTTTTGCCAAGAGGAGGGTGTGGTTGCTCAGCAATTTAGCTTATCCTGAAATGTCATGCTTAAGACTTGAGTCAGAACATCCAAACAATGCAATGCTGGGACGAGAGTGCCAACAGCCTTCTCAGTTGTCTGCTAGATTCAATGCTATTTGGGTTGGGAACATCAGGAGGGTTTCTCGTTACTATGTTACCATGTCTAGTCATGACTCAGATAAGATTTCGGAAAATTCAGAATTGTATATTCCCTAGCTACTTGGTTCTGAGAATAGCATGTCTAGCTTCTTTTTTTTGAAGATGTATAAACTATTTATTAACAGATGAAGCCTACAGACTTATTTCTTCTTGGACACACCCACAGTACGGCCCTGACGGCCAGTGGTCTTGGTGTGCTGGCCTCGAACTCGAAGGCCCCAAAAGTGGCGTAGCCCTCTGTGGCACGGATCTTCTTCAGTCGCTCCAGGTCTTCACGGAGCTTGTTGTCCAGACCACTGGCCAAACCCTGACTGTATTTCCCATCCTTCACATCTTTTTGTCTGTTCAAGAACCAGTCTGGAATCTTGTACTGGCGTGGATTCTGCATAATGGTGATCACACGCTCCACCTCCTCTTCAGTAAGCTCTCCTGCCCTCTTGGTGAGGTCAATGTCTGCTTTCCTCAACACCACATGAGCATATCTTCGCCCTACACCCTTAATGGCAGTGATGGCAAAGGCTATTTTCCGCCGCCCATCGATGCTAGTGTTGAGTACTCGCAAAATGTGCTGGAACTTCTCTGGGATCACTAGAGACACCGCGGCGGCAGCAACGGCGGCGTGTAGGCCTCCGGTGGAAGAGAAGCGTGTCTAGCTTCTGACTTTGGAACTCCTCCTCTTGTAGCCTCCTACCTTACTGCCTTGTGGTGCTATGTTAAGTGGTTGAAAACCAACTGAAAGGTCAGAGATTCAATAGCTCCCATGTCTTTGTGGGAGAGACAATCTGGCCATTTGCTCCCTTAAAGATTTAGCCCCGGAAACTCCATGGGACAGTTTTACCCTGCCTGGAAGGTTATCAAATGACGCAGAACAACAATACCCACCCTTCATATTCAGGCATGCCACAGAGATTCATGTTGTTATGTGCTATCAAATTAATTCCAATTCATAGCCACCCCCTAGGCTAGCCCCACAGAACTTCCAAAGTTGTGATCTACAAAAGCAGGCCACCACATTTTTCAAGCCAATGACTGGCTGAGAGCATAATCCCTGTGCCAGCAAGGTTCCTCTTCAAAAATTGTTGCTGTGTGCAGCTGACCCTCCAGAGGTCTTTCAGAGGCTGTAAATTGCATAAGAGGAGATTGCCCGTCTTTCTCGCACAGAGCAACTGGTGGATTCTGCTGGCCTGCCTTTGGGTTTGACAACAGAGCTCCCTCCTCAGATATTAGCAGCTTCAAATTCTCCCATTCCTCATCCATTTTACACGAGGAAGTGGGGATTTTTCCTTGAAATCAGAGCTTTGGCTGGAGCCGGTCATCTGAGTTCAGAAGACAGCAGGAGAGTGCAGTTCCAGTCCAAATGCTAAGGATTTTCATGTGTGTTATTTCATTCCCTGTGAGGTGGGAATCAACATCCTCACTGTGCAGCTGAGAAAACTGAAGGTTCAGGAAAAAACTAACCCATGGTCACACGGCTGCTAAATGACAGATAGGGCTTTGAATCCAGGTCTGCCGAGGCAAAGCTCTCTCTGTGTGCACTTGCCCTCCCTGGGCCCCCTTTGCCCCCCTGGGCCTCCTGTTTCCAGTCACCACCTTGTAGAGAATCCTGCCCTCCTGGAGCACATAGAGCCTCTCTGGCAGAGCTGCGTAGCGCTGGCTGCTCACGTTCTGCATGGTGTCCACCACCACAGGGCACTGGGGGCTTCTCTCCAGAAGCAGGCGAGCTGCCCGAAGCCGGTCCTGGAGGTTCCGGTGATTCCTGATGACCACGTTGTTCTTAAAAGCCCAACCATCTACAGGAGAAAGGTGGGCAGCAGGCCCACAGAGTTATTAGCACACACTTCCTATGGACTAAATGCCCCCCACTTCTAATGAGTTTCTAGCAAAAGAAGCAGTTGGTCCAGCTCTCTACTCAGGTGAATTACTGAAGACACAATAAGGCCTTAATCGTGCATCCAGGACCGAGACCCAGGCCTCGGCTGTTCAGCATCAGGTACAACAATCAACCTGTATTTCTCAATCTTTAGTGTGCTTCACTCAGGGACCTTGTTAAAGGGCGATTTTGACTCAGTCTATGGTGGTACAAAATAGCTAATTAGCTCTCAAAATGTCAAAGCTGCTAGTGCCCGGACCACACTTCTATTTTACTTATTTTTTTAAAAAACAAAATTTTTTATTTTAATTGTGACTTTAATGAAAGTTTATAGAAAAGTTAGATTTTCATTCATTCATTGTTGCACATTTTTATCCTCATCCCTCCCTCCCCCTTCCCTCAATTCACTTTTTTAAAAAAAATATTAATTCTTTGTTGTACAACTACCTCCCTCCCCCAGTCCTCTTTGCAATGTACCTCTTATTCTGGGCTGTTGTCGTACACATAATGCCTAATCATGCATTCCTTTAAAACAGTTCTTTCCCTCCTCTGTTCCAGTGCAATGTTCATTATCTATCCACTGTTATCCTAGTCTCCTCCCAAACCCTCATTTCAGACCAGCTTTATACCAGTGGTGCTATGCAGTATTTGTCCTTTTGTGACTGAGATATTTTGGACCACACTCTTAAAAGACAAGAATCTAGTGCAGTATGTGGTCCCAGAACCAGCGACATCTCCTTGTTTGCACATTCTCGAGCCCCACCTAAGACCTACGGAGAATGGTACCAGCAATCTCTGTTTTAATAACCCTCCGGAGGATTCTGATGCACACTGAAGTTTAAGAATTGCTTTAGAGTCTAGACAATTCTTTTCCTAATTGCTTTCCACCACAATGACTTTCTAACATGCAAACCTGACAACTTCTACTTACAATATTCCCTGACTCCCTGTCACTCTTAGGCTAAGTCTCAAGCTACTCCGTATGTGGCCAAGAGGTCCTCAATGACTTGGCCTCTATCCATCTCTCCAACCTCAACTCCAGTCAATTCCTTCCAGCTCCTTGCTCCAGCTAAGTGGTATACTTGGAAATGCTTGACTCTGTCCACCCGTCAGTTGTCTTCCATTTGCATACCCCACCCAAAAAGCCCCACTGGCAGCGAGCTAGTTCCTGCCTGTAGAACAGAACAGAGTTGGCATATAGGGTTTCCACGGCTATGAATCTTTACAGGAGCTGGCTCACCCATTTTTTTCCCGTGGAGCAGCTGGTGAGTTCAAACCGTCAACCTTTTGGTAACCAGACCGATGCTTAGTCTATATCGCTGCCAGTGTTAGTCCAACACAATTCCTATCTCTACTTGTGAGTGGAGTGAGACTATCTCTCTGGTTTGTTCATATATTTCAACTTGAGCACTGTAGATGCTGTGCCAGCTCTACTAACTGCCTCCTGGATTTCTCTGAGTTTCCAAGTACAACTGCTAGCTTGGCAGTGGCCCCTCGTGTCCTCTTCTCCTGAGCAGTCTTTCTCCCTCCTCCTCTTTCTGCCTTCCCATCCATCATTCACAAAACTGAGCATGATTTCTAACATGAAATTTGATCATATTCTCTCTCTACTTAAAAGCCAGTTACAGGATGCACGCCTTAGCACAGCATTTAGCAATCCACAGTCTGTGATTTATCTCAACCTATGATTCCAGTTAGATCTGCCAGCCCTTCCACACCCAGCCGAAGGGAGTCCTCTTCTAATGAGGCTGGCACTCTGTGCTTTTGCTCATGATGATCCATCTGCCTTTCCCCCTCCTCTTCCACTTTGGAAATCCTATGTGCTCTGTAATAGTTGGAATAAAAAACAGAGGTTCTCAGCCTTGATACTATTAACATTTGGGGCTGGATAATTCTTTGGCATGGGGAACTGTCTTGTGATTTCAGGATATTGAATAACCCCTGGCCTCTACCCCACTGATACCAGTTGTTTTATGTTGTTATGTACTGTCGAGTTGGAAATAACCCATTAACTGATCCTCCAGTAAGTTTTCAGAGGCAGTAAATCGCACGGAAGGAGAATGTCCATCTTCCACGGAGTAGCTGACAAATTTGAACTGCTGCCTTTGGGCTGGCAGCACAGCTCCTTACCATTTGGCCACCAGAGCTTCCTAATTCATGCCAGTAGCAGCCTTCCAAGTCATATCAACCCAGAGTGTTCTCAGACATTATTGAACTAGGGCCACCATTGGGATTACTGCTCTAATACCACGTCCCCCAGGAAACCTTCCCAAACCCCCTTCAACTGTATGATGTTGAGTGAATTCTTTAAGCCTCAGGGTTGGGTTTTTCTTTTTCAACTATTAAATGAGAATAGTTGAATATACATTGCAAAGTGACTGTGAAGCTTAAATAAGTTCATTTGAGTGGTGTTTCCAACACCCAAGCCTGACACACGGCTACTCAAAGAATAGTTTCTTTTGCCTGACCATCCCCAAATAACAAACATGTGAGAAAGAATTTTGCTTTTTGGTCCAGACCCTGACTTTTCTACTATTGTAGTCTGCTCTAGCAGTGATTTTTCCAAAAGCAGACTCCACATGGAGAAACACCGCTGGCTGTTTGAATTCACCACCAGCTCCTTCAGAGCAGGACGGGCGATCTCCGCCTGTGAGATTTACAGCCTCACAAACCCAAAGGAGGGTTAGCGATGAGTGAGTTTTGACTTTATGGAAATAAGTTTCAGTTATTTTTTTTAATGATAATTTACATTTGAATGAAAATTTGCATTTCTAACAAGTTCTTTGTATTTCTTTTTTTTTGTAATATTTATTATTTTTTTCATTGTTGAACAGTCTCTTCTCCCATCTCTCCTTCCTCCTCCCCCAACCCACCCAGAGAAGCATCCCTTACTCCAGGTTTCTGTCATACATATAACGCCTAATCTTATATTCCTTTCGGACAGTTTTTCCCTGTCATTATCTCTCCCCTCTTTTCCCATTCTCTCCCCAACTCCTCCACCATCTCTGTCCTATTTTATAACAGCAGTGGTATGTGTTATTTATCCTTGTGTGACTGAGATATTTCACTCAGCATAATGTCCTCCAGGCTCCCACCGGTCATGAAACGTTTTATGACTTCATTGGTTTTCAGTGTGGCATAGTAGTTCATTGTGTGAATATACCATTGTTTTTCTGTCAATTCGTTTGTTAATGGGCACTTGTGTTGCTTCCATCTCCTTGCTATTGTGAATGACACAGCACTAAACATGGGTGTGCATACAGCTGTTTGAGTCGTGGTTCTGGTTTCTTTAGGGTATAATATTCCCAGTAGTGGAATTACTGGATCGAACTTTTTACTGAATCCACCTTTTTGAGAAAGCACAAAATCACTTTCTTTAGTGGCTATACTGTTTTACACTCCCACCAGCAGTGAGTAAGAGTTCCAGTATCTCCACAATCTCCCCAGTATTTGTTGTTTGCTACCCTGTTGAACTGGTTAGTTCAACTATTATTGTCAGGGTTCAATTATCTTTAAAAGAAATAGGGTTTCCCCTTGTCCTTATTTATCAAGGTGCACTTGTAGGAAATTGTCCTCACTTGTAGGAAATGGCCCTCATTAACTTATAGCCCTACAGATTGAAAAGTGACCATAACCTGCTTCTGACCTTGACTTTCTCAAAGAGAATTTGTAACTCATGTAATGCAGTCATGGCTTCTTTCAGAAACCATATGACCTGTGTTTGCAATAATCATTCCTTCTCTTGGGTAATAAGAGTGGCTTAAGTCTAGCAAGTAGACTTGGCTCCAGCTTTTTCATGCTTCAAGGTCTACTTGCTCAGTGGCCCCTCCCCCAAGCAAAAGAACTCTCAGCAGAAATTCACGCTTCTATAAAAGTGCTTGACCACATATTTATTGTCTGTCCAAGATAACAGAACTTCTCTGGTGGCACCCTCACTGGCCTGTATCTGTCTGATGTTTTAGGCAGCCTTGTGCACCTGTTAGCTCACTGGAGCGTCACAGCCACTTCCTCAGCAAGCCAACCTGAAATAATTGCCTCCATTTTGCAGCTAACAATGTGGAGACCCAGAGAAAAACAGGGACTTGCCTCCCCAACTTAACTGTGAGTTCTTCAGAGGCAAGGACTATATGTATCTTTTGTCTCTGTACATCTGGGCCCAACATAGGGCTGGGCACATGGCAGGTGCTGGTTAAATATTGTAGAAAGAAAATGTTGTCATCCCCATTTTAGAGGTGCAGATACAGGCTTGGAAGGTAGCTTGCCAACACGTGATGGGACAAGGACTCACACTTAAGTCTGAAACTCCAATCTGCATTCTCTCAACAATGCTTCATGGCTCCCTTTACATTATTTGGGCAAGTAGCTGGCATGTGGGAGACAGAACAGCCAGATAATTTGTGCCAAAGGTCACAGACCCCCTAGGATGGGTGGACTGTGGCTCTCTGCATTTTAACTTAGGTAGAGTTTAAACCTTACCCTACCTCTGACTGAAGGAGTTAAGTAGCCTGGGGAGGAAGATGGAGAAGAGGAGGAGTTCTCTGAATCAGATGTGTCCATGCACAGACACACAGAACTGCTCTGTGTCAGGGCAGAGACAGGAAGCCTTTCCTTTTTGTCTTGATGTGGATAGATCTGAATTCTAGAAAGGCTGCCAGTTTGTGTCCAGGGAAAAAACACAACCACCACCAAATAAAACACAACAGATCCAGAGACTAGTATCAGGCCCAGTAAGCAAGTTCTGTGCCATCTGATACAGCTTGTTTCATTTTGCAGTCTTTTCTTATGGAGGAGATTAAGGTTGGAATCTGCAACACCTTGTGCAAAGCACAGTCATGACCAGCAGAGTCATGTTCTTTTGGGAGAGCTTGTCAAAAGTCCTCAACTGGCAGAGCCAGAATCTACATTTTAACAAGACCCTCGCGTACTTTGAGAAGTGTTGTCCCAGGACAGTTAACTCAACTTTGGACATCAGCTGCCAGCAGGGGTGACATCGAGGCCTTTCCTCTTCTTGGTCAGGGAGACCTCAGGCACCTTTGTCTGTGCTCAGTTCTCTCTTCCTAATGACTGCTGCTCTCAAAGAAGGATAGTTGACAAAAGACACATATGTTTCTCTTTATTCTCTTGCTTCCTAGACAGTTTTACTTGGATTTTGTTAATGAATTTTTCAAATATGGGTAAGAGTTGAGAGTACAGTATAAGGAATCTTTATGTACTCGTTGTTGGTGGTTATAATGTGCCATTGAGTTGGGACCGACCCATAGCTGACCCTCCAGTGAGTTTTCAGAGGCAGTTAATTGCCGCCCATCTTTTTCTTGCAGAACAGCTGGTGGATTCAAACCACATGCCTTCAGGATTGCAGTGTAGTTTCTTATCACTAGGCCACCAAAGCTCCAGTTAAATAAACACAGTATTAAGTGATAAGCAATTCTCAAACCTTCACATGTATATAAATCATGTGAGAAGCTTCTCAAAACTAACTTCTTTGTTATTGGGGTGGGTTTGGATTCCTTGAGTAGAACGCCTCCTTAGGGGGTTTTGGTACAGGTTACATGGTGGGTTGCTAATTGGAAAGGTCAATGATTTAAACCCACAAGACCCTCAAGGCATTCCATAGGAGACAGAAGAGGCTGTTTACTCTTGTCAAAATTTACAGCCTCAGAAACCCAATGGGGCAGCTCTACTCTGTGCTTTAGGTTTACTGTGAACCAGCATTCACTCAACTGGACTAAACATCAGTAGTTCAATCTTAACAGAAGCAGATTGTCAGGTCTTTTCTGGTACATGGGGTGGATTCAAACAACCAACCTTTAGAGTATCAGTCAAGCACAACCGTTTGCTCCTAGTTAGGAATCTACATAACTTTCTTACAGCATTGTTTTGGAGCCAATTTTGACCTGTGACAACCCTCCAGAATAGTGTGGAACATTCCTAGGTTTCCTGGGCTATAAACCTCTACAGGAGCAGACCGCCACGTCTTTCTCTCACTGAACGGCCTGTTGTTTAAATCACCAATGCATCTGTTAGCCAAATGCTTAACCACTGCCTTACCCAGTCTCCCTGCATAATTTCTTTAGTACTCTCCTTGGGCTGGTGGCCTAGTGGCAAGAAGCTGCACTGAAATCCTGAAGGCATGAAGGCTGCGATCTCTTTCTGTGTGATTAACTGCTTCTGAAAACCTCCCGGAGAGTCAGCTGTGTGTCGGTTCTGACTCTACAGTACAATAACAACAAGCAATGCTCCTTATGCACAGGATGCAAAGGGTTTAGAGTGGGGCCCTGGAAAGTGTATTTTTAACAAGCAATCAGAGAATTAACAGGTCTGGCCTAGAGAAAGTGAAACCAAGGTGCTCCTTGGAGGTAAGAATTGGGAAACTCCATCTCACATACTTTGGGTAAGTAGTAAAGAGGGACCAGCCCTTGGAAAATAGCATGATGCTTGCAAAGGTGGAGGGACAGGAAGACCCTCAACGAGATGGATTGACACAGTGACTGTAATAATGGGCTCAAGTGTGTCAGCGATGGTGAGATTGGCTCAGGATAAGACAGGGTTCAGAGCCATTGTTCATAGGGTTACCATGAGTTATAGTCAACTCAATGGTACATAATAACAACAACAATAAATGCTCATTCATTCATCCAGTTTTTACTAAGCTCTGATCTTGTGCTCAGATTCACTCCCAAGTGCTGATAAATCAGAATCTCTCCTATCTTTTGTTGAGATACGTAAGTAAACAACCTATTAGCCTTCTTGCCCTCTTCAGTCCCTGGATTATAAATGTGTTATAAAATTTATGTGTCATAGATCAAATTTATGAGTTCAATCCTTATGAGAATCAGTGAGATGGGATGTGCCAACTCGTTTTATAAAGTTTAAGGAACTTCAACCATCTTGTAGACATTTTCAGAAAGCACGCATCTGTCAACTGTAATGAAGAATGTTCTGGCAAATGAGAGCCTTTCAGAAAATGAACAAGATCTCCTGTGAAACAATGAGTTTCTGATCACTAAAGATACACATTCACCTGTCAGGGCTACGTAAAGGATTCCTTATGGGGAGCTCTGGTAGCCTAGTGGCAAGAAGCTGTGCTGCAATCCCAAAGGCATGTGGTTTTCATCCACTAGCTGCTCTGCAGAAGGATGGACCGTCTCTTCCCGTGTGATTGACTTCTGAAAACTTACTGGAGGGTCAGCTATGCGTCAGTTCTGACTCAACGGTACACAGCAACATAAGCATCCATCTGCCAGGGCTTATATAAAATATTCATGCCCCAAGTGAAAGTTGCCTAGAGCAGTGCTTCTCAGTGTATCCTCCAGACCAGCAGCATCAGCATGACCTGGGAATGAGTCAGAAATGCAAATTCTTGGTTCCCATCCCAGATCTTCTAAATCAGAAACTCTGAGAGCGAGGCCCAGCAGTCTGTAACGGGCCCTCTAGGTGGTTCTTCTGCACCCTGAAGCTTGAAGACCATTGACTTAGATGAACCACCATGTCCCTTTGAAATTGGAGAATCTTAAACTGTATTTCATTAATAGCTTTGTAGTAGTCATTTCATTTATGACATTTCAAGTCTAAATTCTTTGTAGCTGTAGAATGCATACTTTCCCATCCCGTTACTCTAGGTTTTCTGCTGTGATGTTTGGAAGTGGTGATTAAACCTAATTCACATAAAGAAGGTAAATAGATTAGGAACTGGACAAATGCCCAGTGAATAGCAGTTCTACACCTTGGGAAGGGACTTGGAGAAGGAACAAAGGGAAAATAGAGGAAGGAAAGAGGCCAATGCAGGGAATCTTTATACCTGCTGGATGTGCTTCTTCAATATAAATGATGAGAAAATCTGCTACTGAACTAAAGTCTTCTATAAGTCTCTTGAAACGGTCAAATTTTAAAAGAAATGAAGGTCAAGTGCAGCTTCCAAAATTCAGCACCAGTGGTCTGACACCTAAAACAGAAACAGAATGATTATAAACCAAGCACTGAATCCAAATTTGAAAACTTGGGATCATAGTCTCATGCGAAAACTCGGTCAATTGCCATACAGTTTACATAATTCATGGTCTACATGGGCAGCCTCTAGTTTGTGAAAGACCATCACAGATGAAACTACAGGGTTTGACTACGGGAGGAGTAAAAACAGAAGGTAACAAAAAATATAGAGAAGAAACAAGTCTACAAGAATCATAACTTCATTTACCCTTCTCCTTGTTGTTATGTGTGATTGCGTCATTTGCGACTCATAGTGATACTATGTACAACAGCTCCAAACCCTGCCCTTGCTTGAGCCAATTTCATTGTCTCCAACACACCTACCCCGTTACCCAAGTTATTGAGTCAATCTAGTCAATCTATCCCATCAAGGCTCTTCTTCTCTTGCTCTGTCCTTCCACCCTCCCAAGCATGATGTCCCTCTCCAAGGACTGGTTCCTCTTTGCAACATGCCCAAAGTATGTCAGAGTTTCAGAGTCCTTTCCTCCAAAGAGCAGCCTTGTTTCACCCCTTTCAGGACAAACTTGCTTGTTCTCCTAGCAGTCCAAACTATATTCAGTACTCTTCTCCAGCACCACAGCACAAAGGCATCAATTCTCCTTCTGTCATCCCTAGTCATTATCCAGCATTCTGATGCATAATAAGTAATTGTGAAGACCATTGCTTGGATCAGACACACCCAGTCTCCAGACTGCCATCGTTGCTCTTCAGTACTCTGGAGAGGTCCCTGAGAGCAGATTTTTCCAATGCAATTCATCTTTTGATTTCCTGGCTGTTGGTACCAAAAATGTCCATTGTGGAGCCAAGCAAACTGAAGCTATCAATAATCTCAATCTCTTTTCTTTCTATCATGATGCTGCCAGACTGCCCGGTGGTAAGAATCTTTGTTTTCTTGAAGTTTACCTTCAATCCATATTGAAGGTTGCAGTTCTTGACCTTCTGCAGCAGATACCTCAGGTCCTCCTCAGTTTTGGCAAGCAACGTAGGTTGTTGACTAGAGGAGCTGTGGCAGGATATCAACAGTATCATCCAGGAAGAAGAAAGAAAAAGGTCATTACAAAGACAAGAGGAGGAAAAAAGACCAAGGTGGATGTCATAAGAGATTCTGACTATTACACTATAACCTGAGAAGCCAAAGGAAAGGGGAGAAGTTAAGGAGGTGAACAGATTTCAAAGGACAGCGCAGGAAGACAAAGTAAAATATTATAATGAAATGTGCAAAGAGCTTGAGTCAGAAAATCAAAAGGGCTGAACTTGCTCAGCATTTCTAAAGCAGAAGGGACTGAAAACCAAATTCAAGCCTCAAGTTTTAATACTTAAGGAATACTTAATTGATCCAGGATTGGAGGAAAACTCAATTAACTTCAGTATACAGATGGCATAACCTTGCTTACTGAAAGTGAGGAGGACTCGAAGCACTTGCTGCAAAAGATCAAGGACTACTGCCTTCAGTATGAATTGCATTTCAACATCAAGAAAACAAAAATTCTCACCACTGGACCAATAGGTGATGTCATGATAGATGGAGAAAAGATTGAAACTGTCAATGACTTCATCTTTCTTGGATCCACAATAAATATTCACTTGGCACAGCAGTCTGGAGATCAGGAGATGTATTGCACTTGGAAAGTCTAAAGTCAGGGACCTCTGCAAATTACTAAGGAGTAATGACGTTAGTTTGAGAACTAAGGTGCTCCTGATTCAGACCATGTCTTTTTAATTATCTGCGATGCACCTGAGAGCTAGACAATGAATAAGGATGACAGAAAAAAAAAACCCCAACAAACCTGATGCCTTTGAGTTGTGGTGTTAGAGGAGAATAATGAATATCCCATGGAGTTTCAAGAGACCAAACAGATATGTCTTGGAGAGAATGAAGCCAGATTGCTTCTTGGAAGCAAGGATGGTGAAGCCTTGTCTTGCATAATTTGGGCATGTTGCTAGGAGAGCATATTTCTTGGAGAAGGACATCATGATTTGAAAGGTGAAGGGACAGTGAAGGAGAGGAAGACCCTCAACCAGGTGGATTGACATGGTGACTGCAACAAGGGGCTTGAGTCTGTCAGAGATTGTGAGGTTGGCACAGGATAGGACAAGATTTCAATCTATTGTTTATAGGGTCGCTATAATAAAAGTCCTCAAATTGGTATTGTTGTCCCTTAGTAATTTGGAGAGGTTCCTAATGATAGACTTTAGCAGTAGAACTACTTTTCCCACTTAGAACCAAGCTTCTCCCCTGAGACTACCTTTTAGTGAAATAGTTGAGTGGGAACAAAATAGAAGAGATTACTGGTAAGATCGGTACCCTGTATAAAAAATGTCAGTATAGGACAAAAAAAGCCAATAATTTCTCAAAAACAAAGATGAGAAGATAAGGGGGCAGAGAAGCTACTGTAAAAGAAACAAGTAGGGTATTTTTAGAGCCAATGAGGACAGACTGTGATAACTAATGTCACTGAACAGTTTGTGTGGAAATTGTTACATGAATACTTTTTATGTGAAAACTTTCACCAAAACTCAATAAAAGATTATTTTTTTTAAAAAAGAAAACCTTATGCATTATGAAAGAATCTATAGATAGCAACTTTTTGGCAAGCATGATCTTCATCCCTCCATTATATTATATAACCCTTGTTTCCCTTCCAAGATGGACACAGGCTGCAGTGTGGGGCTGGAGCCTAGAAAGCAGGTTTTAGCAGATGCTTTCTTCTCTTGAGGAAGCCCTGGGGACGTGATCCACAGGAGTTTTGCTGCTAGCCCAAATGCCATTTCTTTCTGAATGTTTGAATCTACCAGTTGCTCCACAGGAGAAAGGTAGGCTATCTCCTCTTGTAGGATTTACAGCCTCACAGATCAGATGGAGACTCAGCTATGAGTCAGTTTCAACTTGATGGAAATTAGGTTAGTGTCTCCTCTCTGCATGGGAGATTATATTAGGGAATCTCATCTGAGAGCTGTGGCCACTGGTGGCAACTAAAATAATGGGAAAATCTGATGGCCTAGTGGCAAGAAGCTGCCACTGCAATCTCAGAGGTACATGGTTCGAATGCTCTGCTGGAGAAGGAGGAACAATCTCCTCCTGTACCAGTCAGATCTGATTTGATGGTACACATAAAAAATAATGAAATAAAATAAAAATTATAAAAAATAATAAAATAATGGTAAAAGGAATACCTTTCATGCTGTTATTATGCAGATGCATATGTTTTTCTCACGTGATGTTATTATTACTACCTCAGATAGGTGTTTTCTTTTCCTATTTTACGAAAACACTGAGGTTTCTAGACTTGATCTAGATAGTATAGTCAGGGTTAAAAGTAATAGTCTGGGTTCTGTGTTTTTCATTCAAAGTGCCCAATTTCCTTTTGTGCAAATTACAATAGCACTTACAGATTGTTATGAAGATTAAGTAAGTTGTTGTTGTTTTCATGTGCCTTTGAATGGTTTGCGGCTCCTAGCGACCCTATCTGTGTACAACAGCCCTATACCCTACTTTATCCTGTGCTAATCTTACTGTCTCTGACAATATCCCCATTACCTGTCATTGACTTAATCCATCTCATCAAGGGTTTTCCTTTCTTGCACTATCCCTTCAACCTCCCAAGTATGACGTTCCACTCCAGGGACTGGTCCCTCCATGCAACATGTCCAAAGTAGGTCAGACCAAGCTTCAGAATCCTTGCCACCAAGGAGTAGCCTGGCTTCACCCTCTCTAGGACAAATCTGTTTGTTCTCCTAGCAATCCATTGTATATTCAATACTCTTCTCAAGCACCACAGCTCAAAGCCATCAATTCTCCTTCTATCATCCCTAGTCATTGTCCAGCTTTCTGCTGCATAGCAAGTAATTGCAAAGACTATGGCCTGGATCAGGCACACCTTAGTCTCCAGGCTGACATCATTGCTCTTCAGTACTTTTGAGAGGTCTCTGACAGCAGACTTTCCCAATGCAATTTGTCTTTGGATTTCTTGGCCTCTGGTACCAAGAGTGTTGATAGTGGAGCCAAGCAAACTAAAGTTGTTCACAGTGTCATCTCTTCATCATCTGTCATGATGCTGCCAATTGGCCCAGTGGTGAGAATTTTTGTTTTCTTGATATTAAGCTTCAATTCCTATTTAAGGCTGCAGTCTTCTGCAGCAAGCACTTTAGGTTCTCCTCAGTTTCAGCAAGCAGGATTGTGTCATCTATGTAACGCAGGTTGTTAATGAGTCTTCCTCCAATCCTGATGCCAAATTTCTCCTCATAAAGTCCAGCCTCCCGGATGATCTTTTCTGCATATAGATTGAAAAGATATGAAGATAGGACACATCCCTGGCATATACTCTTCCCAATTTTGAACCATGCAGTGTTTCCTTACTCTGTTCTGACAACAGTATCCTGGTCCAAGAATAAGTTTCACATAAGCACAATTAAGTGTTCCCATTCCCAAGGGATTCCTGTTCTTCTCAGAGTCAGCCACAGTTTGTTGTCATCCACACAGTCAAATGCCTTTGCATAGTTAATGAAACACAGTTAGACATTCCTCTGGTACTCTTGGCTTTCAGCTAAGATCCAGCTAACCTTAGCTATAATATCCCTAGTACCACGGCCTCTTCTAAACCCAGCCTGTACTTCTGGCAGTTCTCTTTTGATGTGCTGTTCCAGTCGTTTTTGGATAATCTTCAAAAGAATCTTGCTTGCATGTGAAATCAATGATACTGTTGGATAATTTCTGCACTCTGTTGGGTCACCTTTCTTTGGAATGGGAACAAATACAGATCTCTTCCAGTCAGTTGGCCAGATGAGAAAATTGGACATTGTTAAGATTAAGTAAGTAAACACAAATAAAGGCTTAAAATAGTGCCTGGCTAATGGTACTTTCTTCATAAGTGTGAATGATTGCTGTTTTCTGTTGCCTCCAACCTGAGCTATGAAATGGAGAAGCGGGGGCTTCACAAATGGGAGTGGAAGCAGGAC